TCCCCCATAAAGCTGTGCGAATCTCGCTTACCACGACTGCAGCTAAACTACACGATTCCTGCCCATCCAAATACTTTTAGCTTCTGTTGAAATGTGGGGGTCTAGCTCCGTTACCCTAGAATGATCAAACGACACTCTCAGGATGGTGTTGCAACTCACATAAGGGCTGGTTTTATACCCAGCTCCCTGTTTTATTAAAAATACACACATGCCCCCCACATGAATAAAGTCAATCCCCTCCCACCGAACAATGCAATGGGGAGTGCCTATACATAGGATGTACCTTCCAATTGGAGCATAGCCTTTCCTATTATCTATCACTGGTCCTCCCCCATGAGTCTTCTGAGGTCAGCAGACTTTCTCCCCTTCCCCCCCATGAGCCATCTGAGGTCATATTTCCTGTCCTACTAGCTTCTATTGGTATGTCCATTCTCTGCACAAGCACTCCCTAAAAATATCAGTCTGTACCTGGATGGGGCCCGGTACGATCTTTATTAAAACACATCCATCCGGATACAGTTCAGATTGGTAATGGGTTGTAAGATATGCATAAGCCTACACGTGGAGTTCGTACCGCTTGGCGCCTTGCGTTATGAAGCCCACGTGGTACCATGCTGCTGATATGTGGAAAAAGGCCCGCGGTCTACTGCCAGCGACATTCGCATCGAATGCCGTGGTGGTATACACGCCGGTCTATAAGCGCAGATCTGCCATCTCATCCATTACCAAGCTGAGTACTGTAATACATACATTGTACATGCGCATGGCCCAATTGCAGCCTTCAGAGCTTTAATTAAGCCACACGAGAGACATATGAATAACACGAATATATGACACATTTAAAGTTCGACCAACAAAACAAAATTTCCATGACAGTACCGCCTCCCATTGCTGCTGTCTCCATCGCCACACTCTGCCATGTGCCACTTTCAGGTCTCCTCACACTCCTGCTGGGTTCCATTTTGTCATAGGATGCTGGCAGATTACGGGCGTCTCCCATTGCTGCTGCCAGGCCTGTAATCTGCCATGGGTCCCTGTACCGCCTCCTCACGCTGCTGCCAGGTCCACAGTGTGTCATGGGTCCCTGTACGGCCTCCCATTGCTGCTGTCTCCATCGCCACACTCTGCCATGTGCCACTTTCAGGTCTCCTCACACTCCTGCTGGGTTCCATTTTGTCATAGGTTGCTGGCAGATTACGGGCGTCTCCCATAGCTGCTGCCATGCCCCTAATCTGCCATGGACCCCTGTACCGCCTCCTCACGCTTCTGCCAGGTCCACAGTGTGTCATGGTCCCTGTACGGCCTCCCATTGCTGCTGTCTCCATCGCCACACTCTGCCATGTGCCACTTTCAGGTCTCCTCACACTCCTGCTGGGTTCCGTTTTGTCATAGGTTGCTGGCAGATTACGGGCGTCTCCCATTGCTGCTGCCAGGCCTGTAATCTGCCATGGGCCCCTGTACCGCCTCCTCCTGCTGCTGCCAGGTCCACAGTGTGTCATGGGTCCCTATAAGGCCTCCCATTGCTGCTGTCTCCATCGCCACACTCTGCCATGTGCCACTTTCAGGTCTCCTCACACTCCTGCTGGGTTCCATTTTGTCATAGGTTGCTGGCAGATTACGGGCGTCTCCCATAGCTGCTGCCAGGCCCCTAATATGCCATGGGCCCCTGTAACGCCTCCTCATGCTGCTGCCAGGTCCACAGTGTGTCATGGGTCCCTGTACGGCCTCCCATTGCTGCTGTCTCCATCGCCACACTCTGCCATGTGCCACTTTCAGGTCTCCTCACACTCCTGCTGGGTTCCATTTTGTCATAGGATGCTGGCAGATTACAGGCCTCCCATAGCTGCTGCCAGGCCCCTAATCTGCCATGGGCCCCCGTACCGCCTCCTCATGCTGCTGCCAGGTCCACAGTGTGTCATGTGTCATGTGTCCCTGTACCGCCTCCCATTGCTGCTGTCTCCATCGCCACACTCTGCCATGTGCCACTTTCAGGTCTCCTCACACTCCTGCTGGGTTCCATTTTGTCATAGGTTGCTGGCAGATTATGGGCGTCTCCCATTGCTGCTGCCAGGCCTGTAATCTGCCATGGGCCCCTGTACCGCCTCCTCACGCTGCTGCCAGGTCCACAGTGTGTCATGGGTCCCTGTACGGCCTCCCATTGCTGCTGTCTCCATCGCCACACTCTGCCATGTGCCACTTTCAGGTCTCCTCACACTCCTGCTGGGTTCCATTTTGTCATAGGTTGCTGGCAGATTACGGGCGTCTCCCATTGCTGCTGCCAGGCCCCTAATCTGCCATGGGCCCCTGTACCGCCTCCTCATGCTGCTGCCAGGTCCACAGTGTGGGTCCCTGTACGGCTCATGGTTGCTGTCTCCATTGTCCCTGTACGGCCTCCCATTGCTGCTGTCTCCGATCGCCACACTCTGCCATGTGCCACTTTCAGGTCTCCCTCACACTGCTTTTGGTTTCCTTTTTGTCATAGGTTGCTGGCAGATTACGGGCGTCTCCCATAGCTGCTGCCAGGCCCCTAATCTGCCATGGGCCCCTGTACCGCCTCCTCATGCTGCTGCCAGGTCCACAGTGTCTCATGGGTCCCTGTACCGCCTCCCATTGCTGCTGTCTCCATCGCCACACTCTGCCATGTGCCACTTTCAGGTCTCCTCACAATCCTGCTGGGTTCCATTTTGTCATAGGATGCTGCGCAGATTACGGGCCTCCCATTGCTGCGGCCAGGCCCCTAATCTGCCATGGGCCCCTGTACCGCCTCCTCATGCTGCTGCCAGGTCCACAGTGTCTCATGGATCCCTGTACGGCCTCCCATTGCTGCTGTCTCCATCGCCACACTCTGCCATGTGCCACTTTCAGGTGTCCTCACACTGCTGCTGGGTTCCATTTTGTCATAGGGTGCTGGCAGATTACGGGCCTCCCATAGCTGCTTCCAGGCCCCTAATCTGCCATGGGCCCCTGTACCGCCTCCTCACGCTGCTGCCAGGTCCACGGTGTGTCATGGGTCCCTGTACGGCCTCCCATTGCTGCTGTCTCCATCGCCACACTCTGCCATGTGCCACTTTCAGGTCTCCTCACACTGCTGGTGGGTTCCATTTTGTCATAGGGTGCTGTATGGCCTCCCATTGCTGCTGCCTCCACCGCCACACTGTGGCTCCAAACTCTGGTTTTTGGCCCCGTGACTGCCCAAATGAGTGAAGTGTGCGGTGATTCTAAGATCGACGGCACTCATCTGCATGTCATACTGACTGACAGTATTATTTCTCTTCCCCAGCAGACTCCAAGGGCATTTAAATTAAAGGTACAGTGTTCTGCACTAATATAAAGGCTCTCTGAAGCCTAGAAACACCCTTTTATAAGTTAAATTCACAGCGAATATATTCGACTCAAATCAAATTTTTTCCACGAATTCGCTGAATCAGTCGAATTGAATTTTTGAATACTTCGCTCATCTCTAAACATGACATATACATTTCTTGGTACAAATTGTTTTGGCTAACTTTCTGGAAAACAGCCAAAGACATTGTCAGGGTCATGTTAGCTTCTGTTGATACATCCTTGAACAACTAAAACAGTTTTATTAAACTTCTAATATATCTGCAAAAAGCTAACTTAATACTTAAAATGGCGTACATTAACAAAAATTGAGGTTCTCTAGATCCTTTCAATCCCCTCTGAGATCATGAACATGATCTCAATTCTTTACCTCATTCATCTTTTTGTACATAGCCAGATAACCTTCATTTGTATTTTGCGGCTTGGTTGCTCTAGCAATGCAATATAATGAGCATTTAAAACATAGATATAAAGATAAAACAAAAAACAATATCATGACTATTCTTACAGTGATACCTTTCATCCATGAAAAGCTGGAACCAAATCCTGATCCTAGCCAATCAAAAGGAGTCCATCCATCTTTTCCTATAGCTCTAGCTTCTTCCATCAAACCATCTACCTGTTCCCTGTGTTGCATTATTATTTCATAATAATCTGGAACAGTCATTGTGGTAATTATATATCCAAGTACAACATTCAGAATCCTCTGTCATCTCACACAGACCTGTCAGAGCAGCACTCATGCTTTCAATAGCTAATTCTTGCATCTCCAGCTGTTCTCTAATTGCTCTGGTCTCGGTATTTACCAACCCCGTGTCCTTAGAGTTCCTCTCCAGTATATCATCAATAATGTTTGTGTAATTATTTATTTTGTTCATGAGTGTTATTCCCCATCCCGTGTAGGTAGGGAACCATGACCAAACCTTATCGCCTGTAGAGAATAGATCTACCTTTTCTTGTTTGGTTTCCCTTTCCGTCTCAGAGTTAGTTGGTGTTTTGGGTATGTACTGGCTGTTACCTGGTGTTCCTTTTGGTCTATAGCTGCCATAATTGGCACTAATTGGGCTACATAGCACCAGCCCTGGACATTACTCGGTATCCAAGGGTAACAGATCTTACCACAACAGATATAGGTATTGTGTCCCAAGGAAATCGGCAATTTTTGTATTGCAGAGCAAAATTCAGGGGTGACAACAAGTGTAAAATAAAAAAAAAAGTTTTCCAAACATAGTTTTCCCCACATTATCTTGTATCCCTTGTAAACTTTCATTCAGGGTTTTACCATTTACTTGCCAGAGTTTCACAGAAGAAGTTCCATCCCTCCTTCCAGGATCAGATATATTTAATATGGACTGAGAGCACATTCCCTTTCCCTTGTGGGAAGTATTCCCCAGTCTAAAACACCAATCGGGGAGTTGAGTGACTCCCAGAGTTGGAAAAGATATGGTGGCATTAGAAGTAATATTGGTCAAACCAATACTTACATTCCCTGTTATTAACAAAAATATTTTGACTGGAGCGGCCAGAAGAGGAATTTCCTATGTGCTCGGATGTAACTTACTACATATCCAACATTTATCAGAACCTGACTTTTGAGCATAAGCAGATTTAAACTGCATCATCAACATTTTCCCTGAAAAAGGATTGTTCTCTTCAAAACTTTCTTTTTGACTTTCTTTCACTTTTGGTTATCTGGGTCTCATTTAAATCTAGTCATTGATCACAGATACCTTTTATTAGACACAAGTCCTTAGGGTGATAAATACAGTTAGTTAGTATCCATACTGGCAGGAAAAAGAGCAGTCAGTGTGCCCAATAGGACCCAGATCTTCAAAGCACCATGAGGGGCAGTAAGGAATGTCATCTTCAGGGTCTTTCTCACCGACTTCACCCGCTCTTCGAGGATTTTCCTCTCATACTTCACCTCCTTTTTCCATCTCGTGTTTCTCAGGTGTTTGGTTCACCTTCTTCACTCGACTAGCATGGATCCAGGACTGGGAATTCTCCACCAGAACAGCCGTTCTGGTAACCGCTATCACCGTAGTAGGTGGTCCAAAGGGGTAGCCTTGCTTCTTGTCTTTAGCGAGTTGGCGGACCACTACGACATCTCCCACTTGGAAAAGGTGTGTTGGTTCCTGAAAAGATAAAGGAGAGGTGCGAGCAACATTTCTTTCAATCTGATGTAAAGTCTGAATCAATTTTCTCACATATTCTTGTTCCAGGTCAAGGTCCCCTCTTTCTAACATAAGTGGCTGTCTAGCCCAAGGAGTGGGGAACGGTCTTCCCATTAATATTACAAAAGGGGATAACCCTGTAGTCTTATTAGGTGTCATTCTTACCTCTGCTAGAATTGCAGGTAACATCTTCTTCCAGTGGGTATAGGTTCCTCCAGTGGCCTTCCTCAACTTATCCTTAATTGTCCTGTTCATCCTTTCTACTATACCCCAACTTTGAGGATGATAGGGAATATGACATTTCCAATCTAAGTACTTTTACCAGGTCTTGGCATACCTTGGCCACAAAGGCTGGTCCGTTATCAGAATTTATCTGCAGCGCACATCCCCATCTGGGTATTATCTCCTGTGTAAGAATTCTGACTACAGTCAGAGCGTCTTCTTTATTAGTGACAAATGCTTCCACCCATCTGCTGAACATATCCACCATTACCAACAAAAACTCTTGCCTCTGTCCTGTTTTTGGCATGTGGGTAAAATCTATTTGTAAATGGGTGAAAGGTGTAGTTGGGTACACTAGATGCTGGTGTTGTGATTTCTTTGGGTTCTGTGGATTGTTCCTTATACATGTAATGCACCTGGAAACATGTTATTTCACCAACCTAGATAAGCCTGTAATGTAAAAATCCTGCAATAATGTTTTGCATGTCGTTTTCCATCCTCTATGTCCTAGACCGTGGTACTGTGCAATGAACAGTGGGGCACTTGATATGGGAATGCATGGTTTCCCCTCTAAGCACACTAGACCAGAAGCTGGATCTAGTTGTGCTCCAGAACCATCCCAGTCTGCTAAATCGATTCTTGTAGCAAATGTTTGTAAATCTGCATACATCTGGTCATGTGGGGTGGTTGTGACGCCTGAAGTGGGCATAGACATCTGCTCACTGGCCACCTGTTGTAATGCGGCTTCCTTTGCTACCTTATCTGCTAATGCATTTCCTTTGGCAATATGATCTCTGCGATTTGTATGTGCCCTGCAATGAAGAATGGCTAATGTTTTTGGTAACTGTATGGCTTTGAGTAGATCAGATATCAAAGAAGAGTGAGATATGGTTTTGTCATCAGCAGCAATGAATCCTCTTCTCTCCCAAATGACCCCAAAATCATGTACAGCACCATGGGCGTACTTGGAGTCTGTGTAAATGTTGACATCCTGTCCTGCAAATAATTGACATGCTCTTGTAAGGGCAATCAGTTGGGCTGCTTGGGCTGACTGATATGGGATTGGCTTTGCCTCGAGTATTTTGTCAGGAAGTTTCACAATGGCATATCCTGCATGGTAAGTATTATCATTTGGCCTAGAGCATGAGCCATCTACAAACACATCTGGGGCCCCATCAAGAGCCACAGCTGACATGTCGGACCTAGGGGAAGTGTCTTGCTGTATGTGGGTTATACAATTGTGTTCTGGTGCCACTTCATCCTGTTCCCCCTTTAGCCCCAGTAGGGCAT